CTGCGAACCCCACTGCGAACCCCACTGCGAACCCCACTGCGAACCCCACTGCGAACCCCACTGCCTTTTGTGGTGTAGTCAAGAAACTGTTCTTTTTTATCTTTTTTGTGGTATTTTTAATTAAAAATGTTTCTGAGAACATGAGTACCGTCCTCCCCTCCCAAATAAACTATTCTTACAAAGAAAAAGCAAGAAAGCATCATCTCCATATGCAATGTAACTTCTGCCCTCAGCCATATCCCCAGTACTTTCCACTTCAAATGCAATTTAGGGAAAAACTGTGTGAAATGCAGGATTTCAGAAGATAAAAAGGGGTCTTTCCCCACCTCTCACTTAATTGTGGTGCATAATTGAAAATCAGTTGGCTCCAACCCAGTTACCTCACGCATCTCCTAGGCATGCGATGCTTGGCTCCCCTCCAGCATTCAACCCTAACGCAAACGAGGTGTGCTTGCTTCTAGGTGGAATGCAGGATTACAACTACATCTGGGCCCAGTGTTTCGAAATTACGTTGGAGCTGTCATGCTGCAAATATCCTCGAGAAGAGAAGCTGCCGTTGTTTTGGAATGATAACAGAGCCTCTTTGATTGAATATATAAGACAGGTGCACCTAGGTTTGTGTCTCCTCCTACTTGTTAATACACACGGCATGCGTAGAATCTTTGCATCAAGCATATACAAAACCTCCTGGGGACCCGTGGCAGGGCTTTATTTTCAGTACTGGGGACTAAGCATTTGAACTCCCTGCACGCATATTATCTGCGGTGTGCAGGACAGGCTGTGCCTTGCTGTCCATAAAACAGGATGATTCATGTTCACTTGATTTGAGAGTGTAAAAGCCCAGCGTACCCCTAACTTTACACATTGACTGATATGTAAATCTGGCAAAAGAGCAGGAAAGCAAGATCGTATTCTTACAACATCTCCCATCAGAAGCCTAGTTTGAGCCCTCCAGATAGCTCAGCAGGTAAACATGTCTGCACCGTGCCTGATGACCTGCGATCAGCCTGGAACTGACTCCTGCAGATCGTCCTCTGACCTCCACACACTTATGCCATAGCACACAAGTGCCTCTGACACCAAATAGATAAATGTAAAAATCCTTAAAATAGGACCCAATCTTACCAGCATCTGCATAACATTACAAACACATTTATTGGCTCTTCCTACTCCCTTTTCTACACTCGCTTTGCTGGGTCCTCTGCTGCTGTTCTGACATTTCGGTTTCCGTGGAGTTCTCCCAGCACTGATGCTTTAGCATGTTACTCGGAACTCTTGTGAAATCACCGTCCGTCAGTATCCTCGGGGAAGTTGACAGACCATGATATGGCTCCCACTCACTGCTTTCCCTGCAGACTTTTAATCTAGCTGTCTAGGTGACTGTCTAGGTGCCGAATCGGGGCGGGATTTGCCTGCCTGCCATGTGAATTGGTTATGACCGTGGCCATTTGACTGGGAAGCCCAATAAATACCACACAAATTGTAGCATCGGTATTGTTAGTATTAGTGCAGAAGTAATAATACAAGCCCATTTAATTGGGTTATATCAAGAATATTTGTCTGTCTGCCTGTTCCCGTAATCAGATGAGAACTCATGTATGTTTACTAACAAATCAACCCTGCCCCCTAGGGGCTTAAGAGAGTAATGTTTTTTTCTGATTTTCAGAAATTTTTTCTGATTTGAAAAAAAAAAATGAAACTTTCAAATTACTGATGTGTGGTTGTTATTACTTAATAGAAAGTCTCTGTCCCTATTAGTGCCCTGCCTGAGGTCAAAGCACACTCTTGCACTTTCGTTTGTTGGTGACGCAGGCACTCCCTGGGCTTTGTCACACTGGGTTCTTCCACCGCATGCTAGGTGACTTCTGGTGACTAATCTGGAAGCCTCCGCTTTAGCATAGCCCGGCCTAGAGGACAGGAGCCAGTGGAGACGCCACACTGTTTGAAGGCTCGAGAAAGCACTAACACTTCTGCCCTGCTTCGTGCCATCCTGTTCTGTGGCTCCAGAGGGGCTGCTGGGACTCACAGGAGACCTCAGTCTGACCTGGGCTCCGTGGTATTGTGGGGCTGTTAGATAGGTATTTGGTGTGGGCTTAGAAAGATACCTAATGATGCTAAGACCAAGGTGGCTCAGGCGTAAGTCTGAATTTCAGGCCTTCAGTGTCCTGTTCTGGGAGACAAAGTACAGTGTGACCAGCTGCAGTCCTGGCCCTCTCTAGACTCTAAGGTGGATCTGAACCCAGAGGCTGAGGAATGACTCACGACCCCCCTCCAGCACCCCCTAGTACCCCACTCCCCAACCCCCTAGTACCCCACTCCCCAAAATTAAGCAATTTGTCTCTAAGGAATTAGAGAGGTATCTAAGCTTTAGAATCATGTTGGGCCAAGATGGCTCTTCCATCAGATCCAGAACAGGGTGCCCCATGATCAGCAAGCTTGAAGGAACTGGGGACTCTTCCGGCATCCACTCTGAATAATGACCCGATTCCAGTTTCTACCATGGAGAACTCAGGAGGCTGTGTGTCTCCCAGTGAAGCTTGCCCCCTCCTACGATCTTCGGGTTTGACAACAGGATTTGTTATCTTTGCTTACTATCTGGTGTGGTTTTGGGGTTTTTTTATTTGTTTCTTTGTTTTTGTTTTTGTTTTTTTTCAACTGTTAACTTTCCCCTCTCCTGTCATCATAAGTCTTTCTGAACCTTTGGGTCTACTGGCCTCTTGTCAGTTTTCAACTTCAGCACCCTGAGTAAATAGTGAGAGCGAATGTAAGGGACTTTGAATAAAAAGGCAAAAAGGGGAAAGTCATGTGAAAATAGGTTTGCGGAGCTGGCCTCCACGGGCACCATGGAAAGGAAACGCGGCCTTTGATAGCCCATTCCCTGGGAAATGAGCTAGGAACCGGACAGGAAAGGTACCAGAAGGCCATCTGGGTCAGAAGTTTGCTTAGTGGTCGAGATAAGGGCTCTTTTGCGAAATGTCAAAACCTCCATCTTTCCCCTCAACCTTTTCTAGAGGACGCTGTATAATGTGTGCCTAGTGTTTTTCTTCCAAGACAGATAATGGTTGAGTGTAGCTATTTGGAGATAGTCCAAGAGCTTAGCATGGTGGCTTTTCGTTTATGTCTTACACATAAATGACTTCACTTTAAGATGCCTGCAATATGTGTCACTGTCGTTCAAAGAAGAGGATTTCCTGGGATGCAGGAGGCCCTGTGGGGGCATTGAAGTCTTGAAGTGGGGCATAACGGGTTTCACGTGGATTCCAGAAACTGGCACCTAAGGGCCGGCTATGCCACTTAGTTGACTTTAATGCTAGGCAAGAATTTTACCACTTCGTTCCTCCTTTGGCCCTGTGAAATTCTGATAATAGCATTGTCATCCTGCAACTTTGGTGTGAAGATCTGTTGAGAACATGTGCCCAGAGCCCTCGTATATAGCCTAGAATACAGTAATTGCTCAATAAATGTTGGCTGCTCTTACCAAAAATAAGAGCACCTCATCAGTCACTTCCAGGGCTCAAGCCATAGTGCGGGTACAATTTTGCTGCCGCTCAGTTTGCCTGGTGTGAAGACAAGCCTTTGAAGTCCTTATGTGTTGGCAACTAGCTTGTGAGTGAGGAGCTTTGTTTGGGATTTTGTGGGGTTCGTCACCATCACGTGTCAGCACAGTTTGATGGAGTAAACTGCTTGGAAGGACAGGAGCGGGTTCTTCTTGCTTCCGGTGTTCCGCTCTGATGAGCCACAAATCAGGCTTGTAGTGCAACTATGACTTACCAGGCATCAAAATTACTCTCCTGTCTTTAGCACCGTTAGTACAGATGAATACTAGGAATATGTTTCTAAATCATTAAAGAGGACATTTCTTCCATGAGCCATAAAAGATTTTATTTACTTTTAAATCCTTAAAGTTTATTATTATTGCACCAGGATGCCTGTGGAGGCCGGTGGATAGCTCTTTAGGGAGTCTCTTCTCTCCCAATGATTGAACTTGGGCCTTCAGTTTCACCCATCAAGCACTTTTACCCACAGAGCCATCTCCCTAGCCCCAAATCTGGTATTCATATTGAGTTTTCCTTTTGTCTTGCAGGTGTAAAGGGTCAAGTGTTTGATCAGAGTGGAAATCCATTGCCGAATGTAATTGTGGAAGTCCAAGACAGAAAACACATCTGCCCATTTCGAACCAACAAACTTGGAGAGTACTACCTGCTTCTCTTGCCGGGGTCCTACGTCATCAACGTAAGTGTGCGGGGCCAGCTACTGTGAAAACACAGAATGCACAGTGCTCACCTAGGACGGTCCAAAGTAAGGGGGAAAGCTAGGCTCAGGAAGGCAGAAAGAAAAGACAACATCAGACCTGAGATAGGAAAGGAATAGAAAAGAAAGGAATGATAGGAGCAAATCAGGAAGAAAAATCATGTTTTCCTAACTGGCAAATAATTCTTAATAGAAGTCAAGTACTATTTTTCTTTCAACTTTTCATGTGCACACATGTGTGCTATAACAGATGTGCAGCGGTCCGAAGGCAGCTTTGGGGAAAGGGAATCTATTTGTTCCTTCCAGCAAACATTCCAGAGATTGAACTGAGTCAGGCTGTCACAAGCACTTTCACCTGGCAGGAGAACCATCCTGCCAGCTCAAAATGGCTATTCTAACAAATACATCAATCTCATTATTCAGACTAGAAGCAAGCCAAGTTGACCCTTTACACCTGCCAGAGAGGCCAGGGCAGCAAAGGAGATGCTATATTGTCAGAATGAATGATGGAGAACTCAGAAGGTTAGCAAAGGAGTGACAGGAAGCCTCAATGACAGGGATGGTTGGAAAGGAACCCAGAGGAAAGAAGGGAGGAAGCGTCTGGCATCTTCGCCCTGCCCCCACCCCCAACCCAAGGCATGCAGGAGAACTGGCACTGTGTGAGGAAGACAGGGAAGTGCCAGCGAGCATCAGTGTGCCAGGGGACCATGAATAATCACAAGCTTCAGCGCCAGTCCAGGGAGCTGTTCTGAAGAAGGCTGTCACTTCAGACTCTGTCTAGCCATTCCACTGTTGAGCCAGACACCATCTTGGTGTAGTCCAGCCTGGATTCTGGTCACAGCCGTGGTCCGGTATATATGTCTCTAAAGTTTTTTAGATAGGGCCCCAAAGGTACAAAGATTAAGATAGACAAGGAGATAAACTCAGAAGCATGGCAAAGGAGCCAGTCAGCAGATTCAGGGACAGCCTTCAGAACCCCCGAAAGGGTCTGCAAACTTAATTTTAAGAGATTGGTTTCTAGGATGCACAAGGGACTCAAAAGAAGGCTTTTAATCCCAGCACTCGGGACGCAGAGGCATGTGGATTCTCAGTCCATGGCCAACTTGGTCTGTACAGCGAGTTCTAGGCCAGCCAGGGCCTCAAAATACACAATCACAATCTAACTGAAGATATACAAGAACGGGGCTGAAGAGATGGCGCAGTGGTTAAGAGCACTGACTGCTCTTCCAGAGGACCCGGGTTCAATTCCCAGCACCCACATGGCAGCTCACAACTGTCTGAAGATCCAGTTGCAGGGGATCTGACACCTTCATACCAATGCACATAAAATAAAGTTAAATAAACCATAAAAAAAATATTAAAAAAAAAAAGATATACAAGAACGAAGCTAGAACACCTCAAGGCTTTTTTTTTTTTGTCTTGTT